ATACAACCCGCCTTGCCTACCCTACAAGGTTCCATCCAAAAAAGGTGCCGGAACTCCGTTCTGAGCCTTCTATGAGAAAAAAAGCCCTGCCCCCGACCCCAGAAAGATAATCTCATATGATTCCCCAAATATAATGTCCTTCATTTTAAACCATAGGATGGTGTACTAGCCCAATTGCCTAAGCAATTGACTTTGTATGGAAATGGAGAGACTCTGGGAAATACCATGGAAGGTTATCCTGTCAGTGAAGTCTAGTACTTCTACAGCACGGGTGTCAAACTCGATCATGTGACATATAGTGACATATTGCGATGTTTTTTGCCTTTGCGGAGCGGGGTGGGCGTGGCCTACGCATGACGCATCCGGCCCACAGGCCACCAGTTTGACACCTCTGTTCTACAGTAAGAATTCTTGTCAGCTGGAAGGAGCAGGATTAAGTCTTTCTCTCCAACCAGGCTCCCCTTCTCCATGACTGCTATTTATATAATTCAATAACAATGTGCATGTAAATTGCAGCAAAGAATTAAGAGGAGACTGTCCGCAATCTGCCTTGATGAGGTGCTTTCTCTCATAGAGGATTGTCATTCTGCCTTGAGATGACGAGCTGCCTTGTGGAGGCACATCATTTCACCTCAACAAAGAATTAAGATGGGACCACTCTACCCCAATTGGCCATTCCATTCAGAAGCCATTTATTATCAAGTGAACTGAAGTGGTCATTTCTCCCTGACAAAGGAAAATGCAGGGCCATTTTACTTAACAACTTTTTATTGAAAAGACTGTTCAGTTGAAATCTCAAGAAAGTTCACCACCCTTTTGAAGACCTGCAAGGCCTTAACAATTATCATAAAGTGAGCTTCATTTTGGTACATCAATCTACTATAAGATCTGAGCTACTGATCCAGATATTTCCACATTTATCTTAGGGACGACACAAGTTTAAGCTTGAATGGAAATGATTCTGTCTCCATTAGCGTCATGACTGTTTTTCCTTATCTGCCACAGATGAGCGAGAGCGAGACTTTGATCAGTATGGTGAACAGAATGGTGGAGAGCTCCTCTCCTAGGGCTCAGCTGTACTTGCAAGTAAGACATCACAGCAGCTCTGCCATCAACCATGACATCCCAGCTGCTTTTGCATGGCAGAACCATCCCAGTATCATTGTTCCATGCCTCACCTCCACAACCATCTGTGAGGTGGCCATTCAATTTTTCATCCCACAGTAGCATTTGTTTATAGACTCATTGTGGTATCCATGCCCCCTGGGCCTCCAAGAGAGGAGGCTTTCTTGAAATGGTTTAAATCCACATATTTCTTTTGAGATTTATGAAAGCAACTCTGATAATGCACATCTTGTGCCAGCTCCTTTTATCTAATGAAATTCTCAATACATGTATGTAGAAGATCTGGAATTACAGCCAATAACCATCATTTAAAAAATCCTTGTCAGGCTATTTTCTGCTAGAGGAGAAAACCTGCCAGTTGATTAGGTGGTTTTTTTTTTAATGAAAAAATCTTTGTTATCATATTTACATAAATTCTGGTACTTCTGGAAAGTGGTTAAGCACAGTAACGTCTATAATTATATTTACGTACATGAAGGAGGGGTAAGGTTTTCCACAGTAATTTACCCTTCTAATGGTAGAGTTGTCTTAGATTTGCATAGAGATTCTGTTTTTCTATGGTTGGCATTGTTCATTGTGTATTGAGCAATACAGTCAACAACAGAATAATTAGAGCTACATTCCTCCCAATTACTGCCAGCCATCTACCATTAATCTCTGTCTTTGGCTTCAATACTTGTTTTGTCACTTTTAGTACTAAAATATATTTTTATGGGTTTGCACCACTACATAAGGAAAACAGCAGTGGAACATTGCTTAAAATTGCTGGTTAGGAGGAATATATTTGGAGCAGTCTGAGTTCTGTTCAGTCTGTTTGTTACATGAGAAAATGAATTATTGTGTATTTGGTGAGACATTCTTATAATCCCAGGGGCATGATGCCTTTTTTCTGCTAACATATGCATTTTCTCAGAGTAAGAACCCTATGGTGAATGGAACTGAAGCAAAGCCATAAGGAAAAGGAGATGGGCACATTTGATCTTTCTCATACCCCTGTTAGGGAGGGCCTTTTTGGTACCTTCTTCCAAGATATGAGGTTTTATGAAGAGGCAGATAGTTCTTTTTAGAAGTCTAAATTGGTCTTTGGCTAAAGGTTTTGAAAATAGGTCATGAATCCTTGAGGGCTATATGTTGCTGTTTTCTGATCTACTTGTACTGGAGAACCTGAAAATAGATATTATTATGTTGCATAACCTTTACAAGAATATGGGAAAATACTACCAACTAAGGCAGGCCTTTTAGTCATTTTATTTATGTAGACAAGCAGTGGCTTTTTTCAGATTTCAGTGCATGTAAAATCCTTTGGTAATGATATTAAATGGTATTAAAAGTAGTAAAGAAATATGTTTTAAGATGTTGTAATAGTTAAATAGAAGCATGGTGCATTATTTTTGTGGATTGGGCTTGTCTTCCCAGCAGCGCCTTTTCCATTAGGGAATACATTCTAATCAGTTCTGCCAAGTATGTGGTAAGGCCAAAGGGATGTGATGGTTCAGTGGTTAAAAATACTGAGCTTATCAGTTGGAAAGCTGACAGCCTGGGCGATGGGATGAGCTCCTGTTACTTGCCCTGCTCCTGTCCACCCAACAGTTCTAACGCATGCAAATGGGAGTAGATAAATAGGCACTACTTTGGTGGGAAGGTAACAACGTTCCATGCACCTCGGCATATAGTTATGCTGGCCACATGACCATGAAAAGTGTCTTTGGACAACATTGACTTCCTCGACTAAGAAAGGAGATGAGCACCACCCTCTAGAGTTGGACTTGACTGGACAAGGGAAAACCTTTTATCTTTATGTAGTAAGGCCATAATGGAACATAACAACAAACCTGGGTTGTTATGTGTGTATGTGAGAGTTTCCTCTAATTCTGCTTATTGGCCATGGGTGTCCACAGAGAAATGTCAGAATCTACAAGATGGCAGGTGCAGGGTCACAATCAAAGCCCCAGTACTTTGTACATGCATGGAGATGTTTTAAATCTATGTTCTCCTATCTATGATAACTCCCTTGGAGGATTCCCCAGATACCTCTGTAGATGTCAGCTTGGGGGAGGATGAATTGATTCCTAGCATGTCAGGAACTGAGTTGATTGATGGCTCTGAACAGTCATCCAGAAGGGATTTGGCTGAGGCCCCAGCTGGGGAAAGTTTGTGATTGCAGATGACCAGTGAAGAAGAAGAAGAGGAACTGCCTTCTGCACCTGATCTGAGAACACGTAGGGCAGAAAAAAGGCAGGAGCAGAGAAGGTCAGCCAGACTACTCCAGAGGAGAAGGCTACACCCATCTGGATGGGCTGCACTGGAAGCTGGCTATCTATCACAGCAGACAGATAAAGGCATTGCTGGGAACGTGTTTGTTTCTGGTCGTCATGATTCCTGCCTCACTCTGGATTGACACCATATTTGGAATTAGAAACTCTGGACTTTTCTTGCCTCATGAGCTATCTTGTGTGTGGATTTAAGTTTGTCTGGTGGATTTAAGTTTGTCTGGTGGAGTTATTTTGTTTGAGCTACTTTCAACTGCTTTGTGGACTTGAACTGGGACAGTTCTGGGTTTTGGTAAAGGGAATTGCTGGGGAATATTAATAAACTCACTAAACCACGGTTATGTGTGTGTGAATGAGTGGGGTAACACACTATTATACTTGTTCATACAACTGGGGATAAGTGCAATTAGCAACTTCATTTTTCCAGAGAGAAAAAAAATGTAAAATTTAGGTGTGATTATGAAAGCTCACACCAAAAAGGCAGTGTTAAAAAAACCATCTCCTTAATTTTTTGCATTATGTTATATTGGTTTGCTTGTAAATTTAGATCTGGCTATAATGTAAAGCATCTTCAAATTGAAAAAATATTACCCTTTTTTTGCAATTTTGAAATCAGCAATTAAATTTGGAATACAATCCATTTGGTAAACATTTCATTATTGTGATTCAGTACAGGATCTGATATTAAACTAACACTAGTCTTTCTCTGCTCTCATTAAAAGTTCTTGTTAATCTAACTAAATCTAGCTGAAAAGTCAAACTATCCTGATCAATCTGTTTCTAACAAGTCAGGAACCTAACAATCTATTTATCAGCCATTCACATCATGCAATGTATATCCATAACAGAATTTTTATTAGTCCCACAAACCCCAGCAAACAATCTTCTTGGGTTTTTTGTGCTACATTCTTGCTTTGTATATTAACTATGAGATGCATTAAAATCTATGTAGAATAACTATTTTGCACCATAGTAGCTATGATAATTTTAATTTTCTCCCCGTAATCATCCTAAATTCTAGAGGGGCAGGGAGAATGGCCCATATCTTTAATTCTCTTTAGACATGTAGATGCAGTGATCATGAAAGTAAACTATGGCTTTATTGCACAATGTGTGTAATTGCCTGATAGTTGCACATCTAACACTTGTAGAGGAGTGTTATGTAGAAGAGCTAATTTCTTCAGAAATCTGACCAGTCATTACATTAAAAAAGCAACACTTTGTTATAAACCCTGACTGTCCTTTCTATGTTGAAAGCAAAAGAGCCATTTTCTTAATATCAGATTTGGAAAAGTTGCTTTCCTTGACAAAGTAGAGGAACTTTTTTTTCAAAGGCAGCAAATAATCTTTGGTTAGATGGGAGGGTATAATTATCATACATTGTAATAATATCCCTTGTTTTCCTTCAGTTATGTGTTGCTTTTGAGAAAGACTTCAAGGAAAATCTAATAGTTGTACAATCTGATAATGTATGTGTGTATACCATATGTACATGTAGAAGGTGAAATGATCCACTAAGTAGAGGCAGGCTTGGATTTCCTTAGGAGCTTATTATGACAACATCAAGATAGAGAGAGTAGCAATGACCTGTTTTTATTTTTTCAGGTGTCTCATTTTCCTGACTCATATAGAGAGACGCTGCACACCTACAAGATAAATGAGCAACACACAGATGTAAGAACACCTCTTCCTCACTGTCATCTGCCTACTCAATCCATCTCCCATCCTGTTACCACTGTCTACCCTGCATTCCCTGAGGTTTGTGGGGATTCTTTCTTTCCATTTCACATCTTTAGATAATCCATCTTTTCTGCTAATAAGACTGCAAAGCTATAAAGGCTCTTGATTATCCTCCATCAAAAATCTTGTGCAATCTCTTTTCCATTTGTCTCTCTACTTTCTACTCAATGCACATGTCTTCACGCTGATTTAATTGTTTGTACATTCCCTTGCATGGATTTGGAATTCAGGAGTTGAGACCAGGCCTCTGGTGGGATCTAATTGATCGCCATCAAAGCAGCTGAAAGTTTATATTTCTCATTCTTGATATCTACTACAGACTTCATGTTTTATTTCTCTCTTTTTCACATGGCAGAAGCTTCTAGGAAAACTCTGTGAACAAAACAAGGTGATAAGAGAACAGGAAAGACTGGTACAGCAGCTCCGAGCAGAAAAGGTAATGGACATGAATCACAAAAATAGAGTAGTAGTATAGACAAGCTGCTTTCAACTCCTGTGAATGAACCTCATTTCCCAGAAGTTTTCATAGCATGTTTAAAAAGATTTCATATTCTAGGCAGTGGTTATATTTAATAGAAGTATTTCCAGTTCTCTGAAGCTAGGAGACTAAAATATTAAAATGTAATTTGGTGAAGTATTATAAACATTTTAAATCTCCCAAGTCATGAAAATTCTCTGAGTTGATTACAAAACTATAAACCAAACAACAATAATAAAATAAAATAGCAAATGTTAAAGACAAAGGCAGTAAAAACCTAAATTCAGCCATCAAATATAAGCACCAGATGCAATACCCAGGAAAGATATTCTGTAATTAGAAGCCCATAACTGAGTTGCCCTATCCCATCTCTCAAAGCTACTTGCCTGGCTTCAATTTGGCAGGGATACCTGAAAGAGAGACTCTTAAAGTAACCAGAATGCTCATAGTAGTACCTATGGGGAGAGAGGTGTTCCTATAAGTATCTGGCCACAAGCCATTCAAATCTTTAAAGAGTAATATCAGCTATTTGACTTGCTGATGAAGCACTGATTTCTTGTGTCTGAATTGAACAATCCCAGTTAATTTCCTGGCAGCTCTGTATTAGAATAACTAAAGTTTCCATCTTCAAAGGAACCATGCAAAACACATTATAATAATTTAATCAGAAGTTTACCAGAGCATGTAACATTGAGCATTGGCTATCTATTTCAAAGGAGGGTGGTTTTATGAGGTGATAAAACTACCACTGAGTTTTGAGAACACTCCAAACTGCTTTCCCGAACTCTCACAAGGGGTGTAACCCATACTGGAACAAAAAATCGCAACCACCCCAAATAATATTTCTGATCTCAATCTGGACTGAGCTTCTTTTCTTGATTTTCATCCAGGCAATTATTCAGTGTTTCAAAACATTTAGTATGTCAGCTGTGTTAAATGAAAAATGTCATCTGTGTAATGATAATAGTTCAGCTAATATCCCAAATAATTTTCCACAGCAGTTTTGTGTAAATTGAAAATAGAAATATGAAATAATTGCAATATGACAAAACAGTAATTCTCTGGAATAGGCTGAACCTGTCTTAGTCAGATGGCTAATTCTGATGGATACCATGGTTGATAGTGCTAAAAACTGTGAAGTCCAAGGAAAGCAACAGGATTGGTGTTCCTTCTGTTTTCTCTCAGCCAAAGTCACTCCCGAGGTGACCAAGACAGTCTTTGTCACAAAATCCAGGTGAATGCAGAACTTCAGTTTTTTCCCTGAAGTTGTTTGATAAGCAATGATTCAAACACCTTTCCAGAGAAATGGAGTCTGGCAACTGTCTGTACACTTCTGAGTTAAGTTTCTTTAGCAGGTGCTGATAACCGCCTCTTTCAAAGATAACTGTTAAAACACATGCAAGGTCTTTGGGTCTTTAGGCACAAGTACTTAGATCCATTACAACTGAATGAGACAATACTCTGAATATCTCAATTGATATAACTGAGAAGTGAGCAATTTCAACTTACAAATTTTTCACAGCAAATTCTTTTACGATCGATGTGTATAATAAAATGCCCAGAGGTACAAATAAATTAACATTTTGCTGCTCCCACCATATCGGATCAGGTTGTACTGAGGTAACTGCCTCAGTTAGATGCCGAAAAATATCAGAACTATTTTTCTACATTGCCTGATTTCTGCCCTCCAGCTAATCTGCTGCCTCATTGCCAGGGTTGAAGCAGCTTCAGTTATCAGTTCATGTGACTTTGGGACATGGAATTGGAAGAGGCCTTGGGGATTACATTGGCTTGGCCCTAATATAAATTTTATTGCAGAAATATTGATTATAGACCCTTAAATTCTCAGGGCTTTATAAACTACTGTTTTCTCCTTCAGAGCCTGATTATAGTCATGTTTCTGCTTAAGAAAAAGTCCTTATCCAAGAAATTTATAAAGGTCAACTCTATTTTTCTCATAAATTTACTAGCTTTCCATCCTAAAACATGAGAAAAGTTCAATTAAATTTAATGATTTTCAAAATAATAGAAATAGGAATAAATCCATGGACATACATTTTAGAAACAATGAAAGGGAGACTCCAAAGCTTAGAAGCAGTACGAATATACATACAGGCAGTCCTTGACTTATGACCACAACTGAAGCAAAATTTCCATTGATAATCAAGACAATTATTAAGTGAGTATTGCCCCATTTTACAATCTTTCTTGCCATAGTTGTTAAATGAATCCCTGCTGTTAAGTTAGTAACACAGTTGCTAAGTGAATCTGGCTTCCCCATGGACTTTGCTCATCAGAAAATTGCAAAAGGTGATCATATGAGCCTGGGACATTGCCATCGTCATAAATACATGCCAGTTGCCAAGTATCCGAATTTTGATCATGTGACCATGGATACGCTGCAATGGTCGTAAGTGTGAAAAATGGTCATAAATCACTTTTTTTCAATGCTGTTGTAACTTCAAACAGTCACTAAACATGTAGCGGTAAGTTGAGGACTATCTGTACTCTAGTCCAGAAAGAGACTCTTAGCTAGAAAACACAACCAATTTCAAATCTTTAAGTCCTGAATTTGCTTCTGGATTACCTGCCCTTATTAACAAACATGTATTTTCTTATGCTCATTTCATCGCTAGGAGAGTCTAGAGAGTGCACTGATGGGGACACACCAGGAACTAGAGATGTTTGGGAGTCAGCCAGCCTACCCTGAAAAACTGCTGCACAAGAAGGAATCTCTTCAGAATCAATTGATCAATATCCGGGTGGAACTATCCCAAGCCAGCACGGTAATCTAAGAGGTTTCCTTAGTCACCAAGAAATCCTAAACACCTAGAAACCTTCAGGGACTTAGTACTATCTAAGGCAGCGTTTCGCAACCTTTACCATTTAAGATGTGTGGGCCTCAACTTCTGGAATTTCCCATCACACATATTAAAATGCCAAGGTTGAGAAACACTGATCTAAGGGAAAGGGTTGTGCGTCTGTTAATCATTAGCTTTGATTTATCCCATCATTCAATATCATTCACAGCTATACCAAATGGAAGTGCACAAATGGAATAGTTGAGCTTCTGGTCATATTTAGCTGGCATGGAGATTAGTAGAGGCTTTGGCTTCTCAGCGTTGCAGTCTCCACTGCTTCTCCAGCAGCATTAGCTGTTGTGAAAACCAGGTGCTTCCAGCTGAGCTTGAATGGGCAGTCTGTTCTCCTTGCTTTGCCAATGATGGTGTTGCCAGGAAATGCTAGAATCGAAAAGAATAATGTTTTGATAGTTTAGCATTGTGCAATACATCTCTTCAATCTTTTATTCTTTTATTGCCCTTTTCTTTTATATAAAAAGGGGAGAGGGAAGAAATGAGGACATAAAGCCCTCTTCAACACAAGAGTAAGTTGCAAAATCACATTTAGAGGTCAGAACATCCAAAGTGTATGTCATCAATTTGGTCTCTCCAAAACTATACTCAGAGAATAGGGCCTATGTTTTCAGTATGCCAAAAAAACAAAAACAAACCCAACCTAAAGAAACAAGCAAAATGCTAGCCTTGCTTCCCTACCCCTGAAGACTTATAATGAGTTTTTAAAAAAGCAAATGTTTTTCGGAATGGAAATCTTTGTCTCTTCTGTGAAGTTTTGAAGGCTGTGATCCAAACAGATGGTTGAACAGTTAGTGTTCTTATGCCAATTAGTTTTTCTGCACTACAGGGATCTAGCCAGACATTCGTATCTTGATGAGACTGTTTGCAAATCCCCACAGGCACTGGCCAACAGCACTATGGAATATGAGAATCTGGAAGCTGAGGTGTCAGCCTTGCATGATGATTTATGGGAACAGCTGAACTTGGACATCCAGGTGAGAGAATGAATCCATCTGCATCAGATGGATTGCAGGCAAATCCACAATCAAGGATACAATGCTCAGCATGCTGAGTTGCTAGAATATGTTGGAAATAAGTGCAAATCCTACCCAAATTTAAGGAAATCATTCACCCAGTTTCTCGGTCTACTAAGTTAGAGAAATTTTCAGAAGATTAACTGTGCCTAACAAAAGTTATAATATTATATACCTGGAGAGCCCAAGCTGAGAAAAGTTGTCTAAGTGGCTTGGAATTTGTACTTATGTACAAATAAACACAAACTTATGTTTATAAAAACATTGTGTCATGCCTGCCAGATAGATGTTTAATCCAAGCTTGCTTTCCTGGTATTTGACATTCTGATGACCTCAATGGAGAACAGGAGCTGTTCTGTCTCCTGGTGGAAAAAATTGCTTGTGGCCATAGAAAGGGCAGGCAACATTTTGAGTTCTAATTGGATGGATAGATCCCATCTCTGTGTTTAAATTATAATAAATCAACACTTGTTTATATTCTTGTGCATATTTCCAATGTAATTTCACTCACCTTGATATGTAGCTGTGTTTCCATGACTGATTTGAGCTACAATAACGAAATATTTATCACTCGTAGCTGGATGGGAAGGATATATTTCCCAACTGACCTCTCAGCTGAGTGACCAGATTAGCTCTTTCCTGCAGATATCCATATTAAAATTGAAATACAATACATAGCCTAGCTATATTTACTTGTTACAATTTAAATATTAGGTAAAGACCCCAAATTCTGCATTTGAAATGAATCACACAAATCAAAGGAAATGTTTGAATATTTTTGCAATGTTGCATGCTTGACTTTAAATGATGGTGATTATTATTTTAATTTGGGAAACTGGGACATAAATGGTCATATAGCAGGAGATGTGATAGGTGAAGGAGAAAATATACACATAAAAAGCTGTGACAAGAAGCAAGAGGCGATGGCCCCTGTTATCTCTGCACAACACAGATTTGCATTTTTAATACAGGTATCAATTAAGAGCATCCCTGCAGAAGGCCAAAATCTGTAAGAAGGTGTCTATAGTGCCATGATCAAAGCTCAGCCCATTTTAACATTTATTCAACAGGAGTGGGCCTCCTATGGCAACATTGCACTTGGCATTTTGCAGATTTACACATATATTCCTGCAGATACCACTAATGCCAACGCCATCTTTACCAATGAAGAAAATTAACACATTCTATCCTGGATGCATTTAATATCAGCAGCTACTTCTGCTTTCCTGTGGTAGAGCCTATGCTATGTAACAACATCCTCGAAGAGCAGAGGTGACCCCTTCCCTGTTACAATTTAGAATGGGGCTTACAATATTAATTTTTATCCAAACATTTTTTGTTTTTTATAGGTTTTTTTTTAAATTAAGCTAAGAGTTGGTTTTGCTTTTATTGTAAATAAATATTTGTAAATTGCCTAATGGGTATGGAATTTTTTTAATGAATAAATTTGCATATCATAGCACATTTTAGCCATATATGTTATTGCAGAGTCACAAGGGTAACATAATTCATACGCTAACCATGTTTATGGGACATTGTGACATAAAGGCAATTGAATAGTTTTCAGAAATCAAGCTTCTGATTTCTAAAGTACTATACGCTGATGAGGGGTATCGGCTGGGTTTTTTTTCTCCATCCCTGTGATTCTGGTTACAACATTGATTGAAGAACCCTAATAAGATATTAGGCAGTGAATCAGTATTATACAGACCCACATTGCCAGAATTGCAATAGCTTCAAAGAATGTAGCCACAGTTGTAAAAACCAGAATGCAGTGTATTGTCTGCATTATATTTACTGTACTCTACACATTTGTGCCAACAGGAAGCTAACTTTTGAAGCACTCTTCAATTTAGATTCAAGATTTATCTACATTCTGGAGGCTTGATAAAATCATGTTCACACACCCACAGTTTCCTGCATGAACAATTTCATGTGAGACACTATACCTTTCTTTACTTGGGGATTACAGAGACTTCAAAACCTAGAGGCTGAATTGCTAAGAGCTGATGAAGCCAAGTGTCCTCAGGAGAAAATGGGCTTAATCTACAAGAAAGATCACACAGAGATTGGGCAAGGATGCACAACTGAAATAATTTAAATGATTACTTTTATTTATTTTTAATTAGCAGACACAGATCACCCAGTTAATTGTGGAAAAGTATTTTTGTGGTAACGTTTGTAACATAATTGTTTCATCCTTTTATAAAGGAAGCAAACAACTTTTTCCCAGCCCTTTTTTCTTCTCTGTGCTCTTTTCTTTCACTGCAGGTCTATACCTCAGTCTCTCATCCATTCTTCTCAACCCGTAGCTGTCCTTCCTTTGATTTCTATTTTTCTTTCTTTCCATTCTGTCTCTTCCCTTTGCAATCACTCCTCCTCGTTATTTTATGAAGACTCACCTATCAAAGGCATGAATATAACAAATTCCCAGTATATTGTATTAAAAGGCATCTTTGAAGGGGACATTTTTTTTTGTAGAAAAGTTAAATAAAGAGATTGCTTACTCCTTTATTACCTATACCTTTTCCTGCTGAAATTCCCTTTCTTACCTTTTCTATTGCAGAATTCTAATAGCAGAGGCAGATAAGCCTAGGGGAAACAGAATTTTTAGACTTCCCTAACTGAAGATCCTCTGGATATGTGAACTTTAATTCTCAGAAATCCCCAGTTCTGAAACCTGGAAAAAAGAGAAACATAACCAAGAGCAGATACCATTGATGATGCAATTGCAATTCAACTGTAGGATCAAACACATCTATTCCACAGTGCAGAGAATTCTGAAATCACTGCAGATGATAGGGACATTGGTGCACAGACCCAGAGTCAGTCAATATAAGTAGTTGTTCCTTCCTTCCTTCCTTCCTTCCTTCCTTCCTTCCTTCCTTCCTTCCTTCCTTCCTTCCTTCCTTCCTTCCTTCCTTCCTTCCTTCCTTCCAACATTTTATTAAAAAAATGGCATAATAAAGTTGCATATATTTGTTTTTATGACTCCCCTTTTAAAATATATTGCTTTTTATTAGGTGTGATCCAAAAATTTTCACTTTAAAAGAGTTTTGTTCAAGTTCGAAAGGATCCTTCCATTATTATTGTAGTATTCCGACTATTCTGGATCTGCTTTGAACTTGAAGCAGCTCTCTTGAGTTTAAAGCAACTGAGTTTGAAATCAGCTTGAAATCAGGCTGATTGGAGCCAAGGACGTATCCAGAGTGATCAGAATAGCATCAGAATACTTCCAATAATGTCAGGATAGCTGTTTCAGATTCAAAATAGATCACTTCAACTCACAACATTTTGAATTTGAAACATTTTGCTACCACCATTTTCTTCATGGATTGTTGCTTATTCTTAAGTAAGTGTGTTCAATATCAAAAGAGCAGAACCGAAATCTTAGTATTCTATTATCATGATGAGGCTATGCTTTAAATAGATTTTAAAGGAAACGTTTCATAGAGGAAGTATTTTTCTTTTTTTAGTTATATTTCTGTTTTTGTTGTTGTTGTTTCTTGCTCTAATTTATCTACTTTCCATTATAGTAGTTAACAGGTATTAAGTGATAGCCTGGTGAGAGAGACAAGAAAACAAATATACATATCACAACTGATGGTTGCCTAAAAATTATCCTTCCCCCTGCCCACAATTAAGTATAGGAAATTAATTACTAACGTTAATATTTAGTTTAATTAAATGTGGATTTGTTTCTCTCCTCGGTCTTTCAGAATGAAATGCTCAACAGGCAAATCCAGAAAGAGATTTGGCGAATCCAGGATGTGATGGAGGGACTCAAAAAGAACAACCCCTCTCGGGGCACAGACACCGCAAAACACCGAGGTGAGGGCCACTTCTTCAATTGATTTTTACTTCTTAATGAGCCATAAGTAGCACCTTGGTTAGAATGCAGGATTGCAGGCTAATTCTGCCGACTGCCAGCAGTTCGATTCTGACTGGCTCAAGGTTGGCTCAGCCTTCCTTCTTTCTGAGGTTGGTAAAATGAGGACCCAGATTGTTGAGGGCAATAGCTGACTCTGCAAACTGCTTAGGGAAGGCTGTAAAACACTATGAAGTAGTATATAAGTCTAAGTGCTATTGCTATTGGTAACCTGATACAATGTTCAATTAATATCTGAGTGTTAAATATCTGAGTGTTAATTATCTGCCATTGCTATTGTGAAACGAACATCCATTTTCTGCTACCTGAAATGCTCACTAGAGTCAGTTGGTTGCTGTTCCAATCAGTGTAGAATTACCATTTGTTGCACTTTCCTGCTGCATCCTTGGACCATTGCTAAAAATGTCATAAAATCAGGTGGGTCATGTGATGACCTACTTAATACCCACAATGACACAAGTGTAATTTTAACAGAAAAACAGAATAACTGAGTTGGAAGGGTTGGTCTTCTGGTCCAACCTCCTGCTTAAGCAGGAGACCCTATACTATTCTGGACAAATGGTTGTCCAATCTCTTCTTTAAAACCTCCAGTGTTGGAACACCCACAGCTTCTGGAAGCAATCTGTTCCACTGATTAATTGTTATGTCAGAAAATTTCTTCTTTGAGCTCAATTACTATCCCAAGTCAAGGACTACCTTATATTTCATTTCAACAAGCATTCTTCAATCTTTAATATTGAAATATTTTGGACTCCAGTATTCAATTTCTATAATGCCCAGTCAGAACAGTCTATGGCTCATTTTAAAAATATAATAAAAAGTTCATTTTTGTAACTGAAAGTTACATGCATCCTATTTGCTACACAACTATTTGTGTTGGCGTAGCATTTATATATATAAAACTGCTCTGACACTCCTCTTGATGACATTGGTTTAATCCCTTTATTTTTGTGCTATTTCTGTTCAACTAGTTCACCTAAAACCACTTGATAGTCTTATCCTTCATAAATTGGTTTACAATTTTAAACCAGCTTCTTTGCATACAGCAACTATCATCTCATCTTGTGGCAATAAATTCCATCAATTAAAGATGTGTTGAGGGAAGGAATTATTTTTTATTGTCAGTCCTGAACTGGGTGCACTTCAAATAACGTTTGAAACTTATTTCTCACTATTTCCATGCTAGGCATCATTTTGTAAACTTTGTCCTCCCCTACCCCAAGCTGCCTCTTTTTAAAACTAAGAAACTCTGAACACATTAGTTATATTTTAAAGAGAAGGTCTCTAATCCATTTGAATATCCTTTTCTGTACTTTTTCCAATGTGTCTTATCTGCTTAAAAATGAAGTCAGCGTCAAAGCATTTTAGACTGAATTGTATACGCCCTTCTGCTTTATGATCAAGCTTTAGATCTCTCCTTCCCTGACCCCCATCCCTGCCCCTGTGACTTCCATCTCCCAGAAATAATGACAGCCTACTAAATGGTGATGTCGATATTATTCCAAACCTGAGTATTTGCTTTTACCTTAATAGTCAGCATGAAATGTTTTTTTCAGCTGTAGCTGAAAAGTTCCAGTTTCCAGCCCTGGTGCTGTTTAAGTGCAGGGAAGCAGTTCCCTATCTGTGGTGCTCAAAGTTTTCTGGAGTGGAGAAGCATAGAAGTCTCATAAATAAATGACAAATAAGTTAAGTAGCTAACCAATAAATGTGGCCTTTTCTTTGATCAACCAATTCATAACAAATAGAATAACTACAGTGGTGATAACAGGATTAAACTAATGGATACAAGTTAAGGGTCCTACAGCCCAAGAATCTATGTAGTCAAAGCTACATATGCTTTCAAAAATCTTGTTCTGACTTTCTTTATCTCTAGAGCTAGGGAGACCTAACAAGAAAGATATTATGTATGAGGGTGAGGAGTACTTAAAAGACACAAGTAGAGGTACTGGAGCTGAGAAACTATCCATTTTGCCCACAGTCCTCTCTACATCAAGTACTATTTTCTTATCCATGAGCCTGACACCAACATAGAGTTTATTACCCCCATTGCTAATCCACAGTGTCTCTGTTCTGACTTGTAGAAAGAGGACAGCTGTAATTGGCAATGGTTTTTACATATGACCAGACTATAGGGCCTAACCTTCTATGAAAACTGGTCCTCTTTTTACTGGGCATTTTGTCACATGTAGGGTCACTTGCCCAGGTGGTAAGAGACAGCAGGCGAAGGGGTCTGAATAACCTGAATAGCTGAGAGATTGGAGGTTGTTTGACCTTTCTTTCTCTCTGCTGCTGCTGCTTCATGGTACAATCCATTATTCCTGTCAGACTGTCCTTGAACACCAGATTAACACTCATCCATTAAAAAGCCCATCTGTGTCCAAAAGCAGTACAAACATTAGCTGATAGGCTTCTAGGGGGATTGTATGAGCTATTCTTTCTCTGCCACTTCACCCTATCTGTCAGTTGTTCAAGCTGCTTTTGAGTTTGGATTTACTACTCTCCCAGTAGAGTGCTAAACCCAGAGGGGAATTGTTCCATGAAGCAGTCATCTCACACTGCAGCCCCCTTCATCCATCCTCATCAGCTGTTATTCAGGTTGATTTATTGGCTGAGAGACCTGGCATGTACAAGGAAGAGCCTTGTTTGAAATAATTGGAAGAACTGGACTCTCTCATTGTTCAGACAGAATGGCCCTGGAGGACAATGCCCAGGACCAGGATAGAGAGGTATAGCTGTACCAGTCTAAGGTTGTCAATATGTGCCAGCCTAATTCTGTCCCCCATTGCTTATGCCATCTGATGGTATCATTGATAACAGAATAACAGAGTTGGGGGTCTTCTAGTCATATGGATTGGTGAAGTGCTTCAGAATGTGTCTTTGGTAAAACTGATGCAGTTTGTTGACTGCCTAATAAGGAAAACTACCTTTAACACTGAAACATCCCATCAGGATGACTTAAAACCTTTTGGAATATGGGTCAAGGTTGGGATGAAGACAATGCAAGGGGACAATAAAAGAAAACACTGGTTATTAGGGCATATTTTAACCAGGTTTAGGTACTTTAGACCAGTGTTTCCCAGTCGCAATTATTTTATGATGTGTGGACATCAGCTACCAAAACTCCCCAGTCAGAATTCTGGGAGTTGAAGTTCACGCATCTTAAAGTAGTTGAGCTTAAGAAACACGCTTTAGGCAGTAGAAAATAATGTTATATGCTTTCTTATTTTCTATATGTACAGTATATTGAGATTCATCCCTTTTTGTAAAATCCCTCTTTCTCCTTTTAGTAGAAAAGATTCTCTGTTCTGTTTGATACACTCCAGTTATCTCCAACTCATCGTCATATGTCCCTTTCCTGCAGTTCATTAATGCTTTACTATCTGTTCCCTTTTCTTGCAGTGGCCCTTGGCCCATCAGGAACTTACAGCTCCAACAGTCCAGCCAGTCCTCTGAGCTCAGCTAGCCTCACAAGCCCCTTGAGCCCTTTCTCTCTTGTGTCTGGATCCCAGAGCTCCCCTACCAAGCAAGGCAGCAATGAGGTGAGCAAATCTCTCATCAATTAGAATGGCTAAAGGCAAGGGTCTCCAACCGCTGGTCTGTGGACCAATACCGGGCCGTAGCATGCCAGCAACTGGTCCGCACAAACAAGTAAAGCCCCATCTGTGGGATACAGGCAGTGCACAAAACTATGCACACTCCGGTCCGTGGAAAAAACTTTCTCCACAGAACCGGTCCCTGGTGCCCAAAAGGTTGGGGACCTCTGGCTAAAGATGCTGGAAAATTGAAGCAGCCAGAAGATGGTCCCTGATGTTTTTGTTTTAAAGGTTATCATTCCACCAGTAGGTGGAGATGTACACCTTCTTCTGACATGGAATGGATGGACAAATTCCTCCAATGACCATAGTATAAATCTAAGCATTACATTATTGGCTTACAATGCTTGAATAATTTCAGAGAACCAGCCAGTTAAAGGTTGGGAAATTGACCCCAAATCCTTGAAAATCTGTAGTTTGTTACTGGAAATCTAAAGAACAAATTCCTGGTAGCTGGCACTTGGTGCACCAGTTTACCTATAAAAGTTCTGTATGTAATTGAGTTTAATTGTTATTTATTCATTTGCTTTAAATTTGGTTTTTTACATTTTCCAGCAACTGAAAGTAAATAGACCAGAGATTGATCATTATAGAAAATAGTCTGTCTCTTTGTTCTATTCAATTTTATTTTATAAAAAGTAGCCTTTTAGCAATTAAAATAATGAGCAGATGTTTTCCCATAAAGCAAGGCTCCCCATCTCTTATTTCTTTATGCTTGTGCAGTTGGCAAAAAAAACTAATGATGCATCTGAGTAACACCTGGGATAAAAAAAAAATCTGAATTGCACCTCTGTTCAGAGCACAGTCTACAGACTCATCCTTACACCTGCTGGATGAAGCACATTGGTGCTTTCCCAACCATTTTTGAGAGCCACGTCTTCATGACCTTGCCTCCATCTCACCATCAGTCTTGAGCTGTTTTTAACTGTTTGGAAGTAATGTTTTTTTCCTTTTTCCCCTGAAAATCTTGAGTACCCCAAGGATAAGCCATGATACAATCAGGGACAGCAGTCTTTGCAGCTCCAATTGGCTGGGTGAATCTGCTGTGGAAACAGCCTTTACCTCTCTAATTGTAGCCATGGCACCTGTTGACCCATTTTGTCTTTGGCTATGACAGAGAACAGGACCCAGCTTTGACTGGCTTTTTTTTTTCATTACAAAATTAACTATTTGGTGTGTATGTGTTTGTGTGCAGGGGAAATAATAAATTAGGCAGACCGTGTGAGATACACAAATACACATATATGGGCATACACTCTGTGAAAGGGGATAGGAAGAGAGAAGAGACACTTTCTTGGGCCAAACATAATTCAGGATGTTATTGGCTTCAGGAAGGGGAAAGCAGAGAAAGACTCAAGAGACATAATAGAACCAAGAACTGTTTGGGCTGCTTCTATTTTGCATTTTAAATGAGCTATTCTGACATTCAGGCAAACTTTTGTGGAGGTGTGTTATTTGACATAGTTATATCCATCTTCTGTTTCTCTGATAGGATTGTCAATCTCTCAGGAGAATGATATTTCTATGGAACAAGCTCATAGAAGGTATCATCTAGAGGTTCTTTGGGAAACTGATAGTCCTATCAGAAGAAGCACCCAATAAATGCTAAGAATTCAAGCCAAATAAATTCCACTGTTCTGTTTTAGGAAGACCACCTAAATATCTTGGCCATGAATGCTTCAGAACTCTAAAAGTCTGGAATGATTTAGTTGCATGATATTAGCAGCACAGTAATGTATGATACTAACTTTGTATACTCCTTAGACAGTAACAAGTTCATGCTTGCCCATTATAAACAAACACTTAAGTCATTGGATTGAGCCAAAAGATGAGGAGAGTCAGATAGCCTACTTCTTCATCAATAAAAAATTATGCAGAAATTGATAGATCAATGTACTCAACCTCAAAAGCTTTTAAAATGTGTGGATTTTAACTCCCAGAATTTTCCCAGATAGCATGCTAGCTGGAGAAATTCTAGGAATTGAAGCCCACACATCTTAAAGCTGCTGAGGATGAGTACCACTGTGATAGGACCCTGTTTTTCCCTTTGTATTAGACTGATAATACATCAGAACAAGCCAAACGTTTTTAGTTAAATTTCTAGGTTCAGTGGAAACAACTCATTAAGCTATTCCTCTCATCAAAATCAAAACCCTGTCCTGAAACAATCATCAACCCTAGTTCCACTCATGTGCTACCCCTTATATTTGTGTGGAGCATCACTTTCTATGTTGCCATGACCTCGGTGTTTATGAATCAACAGGAGGTCTTTTAAGTCTTCATCAACCATGTCTTGAGACACTAGCTTGCATTCTCTGATGAAGCAGCAGATTGTGCTGACATTCTAAAATATTTGTATTTTGAAAAATGTGTCTTAGACGGGATGCATATTTTGAAATGGCAGATATTTTTTGAAGCAAGTGAAAGTCAAGTCATCGTATCATGTACATTATTTATCAAGTGATGCCTGACTAGCAGTAGTATTCTCTGGATTGGTACTGGGTTGGTCACCAAGGAAAAAGGCTGTTCATTTTGACTCCTGGGTTTTTGGTGCTCAGATGCAGGTGCCTATCCTGGTTTAACATCTGTCCTTATATGTATCTGTGTCTCACTAATTCTCTTTTCCTTCACATTCTCACAGTTTCTTTGCTCTTACTCCTAATGCTTCTTGATTTCCTCTCCACTCCAGGAGCCTGGTCCACCTCGACCTCCCCTCCCCAAATCATATGTGCCCTTGGAGTCTCCTCCGACTATCCCTCCACTTCCTTCTGAAAGCCGTCTCTGGCCATATCCTAACTCCCCTTCCTGGCAGGAAAGCAGCGAGGCGAAGAGGGGACAGGTATCAAAATGGAGTCTGAGATCTAGCGGCAGAGTCTATCCTTTACTACTTTCACCAGGCAATGCGGCCAGAGAGAGGGTGGGCGAGGGAACCCTATGTCTAACAGTAATCTTTCTTGCTCATGTCTATTGTGTCTTTAAGCTTATAATGGATAACGGTAGTTCCACATGAAGCACTTTTTCTATAAGTAGATTAAGTCCGGGTATGAAAATTATTTAACAAAGAATTGGCCTTTTTGAGAATGCAAACCATTGTTTGATTATGTAATCATGGATTACATAATCATAGGTAGGTTTTCAAAACAGACATGTAAGCTAGAAACACAAAGTGGGGAGGAGGGAGAAATTAAATCACAGGAGGTTGCATGTTTTTGAAAAAATTCAAAGATCTGGAAAACTTACTTAAGCAGAAGCAGCAAGCACTATAAAAGCAGTTTGGTCTAGTGGTTAAGGTCTTTCCTAGCCATGAAAGCCAGCTGGATGATCTTAGGCCAGTCACTCTCTTTCAGCCCAGCTCATCTCACAGGGTTTTTGTGGTGGGAAAAATAGGAAAAAGCTGTGTGTGATATGTCTGCCACCTTGAGTTATTTCTAAAAATAATAATGGCAGGAGGTATATAGATGGATAAGATAGACATACAGATAATATTCCTCCACCCCACCAATATCACACAAAAATCTAAGTTATTGCAGCAAAAAATGAGCTGAGGCTATAAGAAGTCTAAAACCCTTTGTTTCTTCAATTAAGCCCCTGTGAAAGTTATAGAAATGGTACTGAAATGAAGCAGAAGAAAATGAAGTATCCAAGACAGTGAATCTTTTCCTCACAGTATTCCTCTTCTCCAAGTAGTTGCTATTTTTGTTTTCTAATTAAGGGCAATATAATTTCATCAAATATCCTCTTCTGGTGTGCTTTCTAGTTTCCATTTATAGAAGTAGAGAACAGGTGGCAGTTTATCTCATGAGCTTTATTCTCCAATGTATATCCAGCTGGATATTTCTAATTCCTAGGGGAATCTACTAGGAATAGAAATCCTTGCCTTTCCTGGATATTTTACCTTGAACAAAAAACATGCTAATGAAGTAAACATTTGCCCCATCTTTTCTTCACCTGACTGGTTTTTCATCATTTGAACTGTTTTGGAACAGAGAAGAAAAAAAATCTACAGAGATGCTTCTGATTCTTTTTTCAATATACTCAATATATTCTTGTTGCCTATTTTTTTCTTCTCTGTTCTAACTCTATGTTAACCATCTATAATCAGAACTATGAGCTGGGTGGCCATTTAAATTCCTTAAACAAAAACAACCAAACCTTCAGGACAGTAACAGCTGTCTATAGCAGTTGTCTTCAGCAAGACCAGACACTTTTCAAAGGAAATATGTTTTCCCCACAGTCAAAGTCCAGCTTTGAGCAGAGCAAGAAGGACCATCACCGGGCATCAGCCTCACACTCAACAATGGAGGCTGGTCTCTTGCAGCCAAGACAGGACCAAGATGCTGATAAGCAGGTGGCACTCAACAAAGGTACCTATACATTGCATTTTATTAAGAGAATCCATTTGTTTGCTGATATTATCTTCTTTGCCAGCTCCAAAAGTCATGCTGGCTTGGAATGGTGGGAACTGTAGTCTGGTGTTTAAAAAAAAGAGTATAGATTGGGGATAACTGGTATAAAGTTTGTATCTCTCAAATTCAGGAAAGATAGATTTTAAGAAACATAATATATAGGAATACATTACAATAAGCAAAGCCTTTTATCCCCAAATTCCTTTGTTCAGAGCAATATAATATGTCACTATACAAAGTCAGTATACAGTATCACATAGAGACAGATTGAGTTCATACAAATGTCAACCCTAGCATGCTGTATGAGCCTAGTCATTCCTAAGCCATGAGTTATAGCTTAACTATCAATCCATCCATTTTGGCTTGTTAAGCAATCGATGCTAAAACAAATCCAGATTCCAACCCATCCATAGACATTCACAATGGGAAAAAAACTGCTGCTCAATGGTTATTGTCTTAACAAGCTTGTAGGCTGGCCCAGTGAGTTTGGTCTCATTCAGCAAGGTTCTTCTGAAATGATTTTAGCAAGAAAGTAGTTCTTGCTCCTTTCTTGTCCTAAATAACTGTTTCCATTACCTGTCCTAAGTAAGTATTTGGATTACCTGTCACAGGGATAGATGGGTGGGTGTGCGGGTGAGTGGATGGATGGGTGGACAGGTGGGTGGATGGATGGACAGACAGATGGACAGACGGATGGATCCATCTATCCATCTCTATCATCTGTCCCATTTATTTGGTGGTGGCCACCCATCTATTATAAGTTTGTGTGGCTAATAATGAATTAAGACCAACACACACACACACACACACACACACACACACACACATATACACACACAAACAAATAAAACAATTAATGGAGCAGAAATTATAATAACATTCAGTAATATTCCAGAGTCCAAATTAATTTTCCCATTTTACAATAGATAATGAGCAAATGTTAACAGGAAAACCAACCAACAGAGCTTTGCTAACACAAGAGTTGGGGCAGAATGAGGCTGGAGCCCAGGCAATGTGGGACAGTGCTGCCCTGGAGCATCCTAAGTTTTTATTCTAATTGTTGGGAAGGTATCTGTTTTTACTGTTTGTGAGCCACCCATAGTTGTGGTTACAATATGAGTGGGTGTAAAAGTCATTTAAAATAAATGCTTTCTATTTATATATTGCCATTGCCAGAATCTTCCCGCTTCTTGTTAATATCTTTGTTTTTCTTTACCTCCTGGATTTCCACAGTTGGTATTGTTCCTCCAAGAACTAAGTCACCTATGGATGATGAGAACACACCAACATCAGGTGTGGTGAGGAGGAGTGCCAATGGGCGGGATTCTCAGGTGAGGATGAATTCTGCCATCATTTTAATATTCTGTTAATTCATTTTTAATAATATTAATTACTCTGCAGGAAATAGTGCTGAACAATACAATATATAAAAGCCAACAATGCAATTATACAACAAATCATAAAACAATGCGATCAAGTGATCAATGAAAAGAAATATCAAATGAAATTTTTAAAAAATCAGTCCAAAAATTAAACAGCCCTCTAACTAAAAGTTATAATTATATTTTTTAAAAAAACCTCTTAAATAATGTAGCAGCAAAATTCTACTGTAAATTAAAAAGTCTATTTCCTATGGGAATGAAAAGGTCTTTCTTGGTACCAAAAGGGGAACAATGTTTATACAAAGGTATTACATAAGGCAGAGTTTCCCAGCCTTGGCAACTTTAAAACATGTGGACTTCAGCTCCCAGAATTCTGGGATATAAAGTCTACATATCTTAAAGCTGCCAAGGTTGGGAAACCCTGACATAAGGAAAAGTTAACCATTGAGAAGCAAGCTAGGGAGATCAGCAGAAGTATCAGCATCCTAACTGATGTCAGTGTCCTCATCACTTATAGATGATAATGTCTGTATGATAAGGTTCAAATTTCTCCACTTTGACGGAGAAAGATTTTATTCTTCCTACTTTATTGACAGTTCAGTGAATTGGGAGAAATGTGATGATAACAGTTAATCCAGGATTGCCAGAAAGAATGAGTTAAATGTGTGACCAGAAAGCCTCTAGTTCAGTGGTTCTCAACCTTTTTAATGCTGCGACCCCAACCGGTCGTAAGTCGAGGACTAAACGTCGTAAGTCGAGGACTAAACCGGTCGTAAGTCGAGGACTACCCAACCGGTCGTAAGTCGAGGACTTTCCCTGCCCGGGAGCGCCGCACATGCGTGGTTCCGCCCCCTGCGCCGGCCGAGGCGTAGCTGGCAAGCGACAGAGATGGAGCAGGCCAACCACCAGCTGGCCCAGCCCAAGGGAGGTAAGGCACCCGCCGGAAAAGGGAAAAAAATGGCGGACAAAAAAAATGGCGGACAGCCTTGCTTGGCGACCCCCATGAAATGGTCGATCGACCCCAAATGGGGTCCCGACCCCATTTGAGAACTACTGCTCTAGTTTCATCCTTAGCCACTAGTCAAAATCAACTAAATCAACAAAGAAGAGGGAGTCAAGCTATTCTCCAAAGCACCTGAAGGCAGGACAAGAAGCAATAGATGGAAACTAATCAAGGAGAGAAGCAACCTAGAACTAAGAAGAAATTTCCTGACAGTTAGAACAATTAATCAGTGGAACAACCTGCCTCCAGAAGTTGTGAATGTTCCAACACTGGAAGTTTTTAAGAAGAGACTGGACAACCATTTATCTGAAATGGTATAGGGTTTCCTGCCTGAGCAGGGGTTGGACTAGAAGACCTCCAAGGTCCCTTCCAAATATTATTATTATTATTATTGTTGTTGTTGTTGTTGTTGTTGTTGTTATTATTATTATTATTATTATTATTATTATTATTATCTTACTGGAACACAATTGTATTGAGATCTCAGGAAGGTTTCCTATACCAACAGTTTTACCCGAACACTCAGAAGTATTTTTGCTCTGTCCTACAAGGGTCTTCATCATTAACATCCCCACAATAATCACCGCAACCTATGAAGCAAATAGCACTCCCTCCAGGTGATCAACAGGAGATGCAAAACCCAGCCTCCAGCCAGCACCTGCCCTGTGTTCTTATAATTGTATCACTGCATTTATTTTCATAGAAAAACAATGTCTCCATTTGAAAATCAGAATGAAATGATTGACACCATGACTTCAACTCAGTGGAGAAAACAGCCAGCTTCAAAATGCCCAGTGAAAGAGCATCAAGGCACTTCTGGGAGGTGGGAGAACTGAGGACCCAGGGTGGGATGAGGTGGGGGTTCCAGCCAATGAGAAATTGCCATCCTGATACTGAGAAGTTAGCAACAAATCTACTTTGTGGAATTTCCTCCTGGATTGACAAAAATGGGAAGCTTTTGGACACAGCATTTATCTTTTCTTCTTCTTACAATGTTTGCATTGTAAGCTAAATTAGTACTTTATTTTTTCTCCCCAAAAACACAGTTGTCATAAACTCATAAATATTGTATTGTATTATTAGATTTATATCACATATCATATCTTATATTAAATGATTTGATATAATCATGTCATGCAGAAAAAAAAATCCTGTATTATTCTAGTTTCAAAATTTTGCAAACTTCTTACTGCATTTGCTGTCATGCTCAAACACACTTTGCCAAACTCCTCTTTTCATAAACTGTTTTATTAACAACTAGTCATCTTTTGGTTGAGAACCTGGGCTGCTATCTACTGGAAGATTTCCCATCTTCTAACAAAAATGTTAACAACATAAGGATCCTGTTGTTGTCAGAATATTTTCTATCCTGAATCTGCCCTCAGAAAAAAATAAACCAAGATTTTGATGAAACAAAAAGCCTCTGGGGCCATTAGTAACCACCAGGGTCCTGTTTTCTCCCTTAGGACAGGCCAAAGAGTGCTGTGTTTTCCAATGAGATGAAAGCAAAGATGAGTGTTGAGGAACAAATTGATCGCATGAAACGCCATCAAAGCAGTTCTATGAAGGAAAAGAGACGGAGCTTGCAACTTCCAGCCAATCAGCAACAGACAGATAGCCTTCTCTCAAAAGCACCTGCCTCTTATAAAGTGGTAATACATTTGCTTTATTAGTGAAAACTAATCTCCATCTCATAAACCATTCAGATCTACTTCAGTATTAGAATTTTCCTGAGAAAAAATTGGTCAAATGCTGTTTCATATGGATGTTTTGCAGGTATTGAAGTTAAGAACTGGGCTGAATGATAGACAATCAAATATTCTTAAACTTTGTAACAATTACTAGGAGGCAGTAATTTAGCTTTATTCCTACAAGCTGAGTCTGTGGTGGTAAACCTATATATTAATTGTGCAGGTCCAAACCAGAGTTGGAAACTCACATGACTGAATTTCTGTTACATTCCACCCCTATCCCCATGAAAAAAATGTCTGCACAGTAAATCATGCTAGTCTAAAATTTTATTTCTGACTTTTTTTGTTCTTTCTGTAACTAAATTTCTTAATGATCTAGTATAGAAGAATAGTTATGGGAGATTCAGCCAGTGCAACTCTAAGTTGATCAAGTGATCTGTCAAGCTAGAAATAATACTGACGATGAATGAAGGGAACTATACATGTTCCAGGATAATGTCCCAGGATTCAATCTGGGTCGGTCACTGGGACCAGAGTTTTAATCTTCCGAGCTTTCAGACTTGTGCTGGAATCCATCCTCAATGAACTTCTCTCTCATACATTCTGGTGAGAGAGAAGTTCCCTAAGGATGGACTCCAGCACGAGTCCAGAAGCTCGGAAGACTAACCTCTGGTCTCAGTGGTCGACCCAGATTGGATCCTGCAATACTGACAATATCTTAAGTGGTCTATTTTGCTCTAGGTTCGCAGGCATCGCAGTATCCATGAAGTGGATATATCTGACCTGGAGGCAGCATTACGCTATGAAGATTCTGGCAGGATGTATGAAAGCCCCCGAGATGAGATTGCTCGCCTGCGCAAAATGGAGTTGGAGCCAGAACATTATGATGTGGACATTAGCAAAGAGGTGAAATACATGATCAATCTGAATCTCAGCAAACTGCCTCTTTCCCAATAATGTACACTGAGATCTAGTAGCCTTCTCTGAAACTCAAAGGGTCTGTGTGGTTGGAGCAATATGAGCTGAGAGTTTCAATAGTCTGTTAAGGATACAGGATAGGCCCAATGAAAAGTCATGCAGGTGCGGGAGAGGAACTAAGAATTCTGAACTTTGTATTTATGAAATGCCTGGAATGTTTGATTTTAAGACAGCCTGGAGAGTTTCAGAGCACACATGTTTTAAGCATGATCTAAAGTGTATATTCTGGAATGTATAATATAGTGATTAAGGTTGGATACTAGAAGTAGGGTAAGGTAGGGTAAACTAGACTAGACTAGACTAGACTAGAAGTAGTGTAGGGTATGGTAGGGTAGGGTAGGGTAAAATATACTACCAAGTGAAACATTTAACAAGACCATTGCCACTTATTGGCTGTTTTTGTTACTCAGCTTTCCACTCCAGATAAAGTCCTCATCCCAGAAAGGTATATTGAGCTGGAACCTGATACTCCACTGAGCCCTGAGGAGATGAAGGAGAAACAAAAGAAAGTGGAAAGGATAAAGACACTTATTGCTAAATCCAGGTGCAGTGCTACTTCACACATTTTGACTTTCCCATGTGCCATTTGGTCACTGAGCTTGAATTTTTATTTCATTTTGGAATAACATTTCATTTTGGAGGCTATATATTTGCCCTTACTGTTTATTAACAGCACTGTCCAGTAGTCTCTTAATATTCAGAAGCTACTAATGTTGTATAAGTTTCATTCTGTTTTCTTCTTTCTCTTTGGTGCCTTGTCTGTACATCTGGTCTTGCTGGATATACCTATTAGCAATTCCAATCTATAGTAGATAGAAAAAATAACTTATCTAAATATTTATGGCCTCAAAATTCCCTCACTAGAAAATGAACAAGAATATTAATTTTGCAAAGGAAGAGTGATTGTGTTTACAGTCTTAAAGATAACTTTAAGAATGGCCGTTTGTGTTTTATAGAGAAATGTTAAAAATTATATTAAACAAATAGGATGTTTCACATCTGTTTCCATCTTCTTTTATTAACCTTGTAGCTTTGAGTGTTGGGCGTGCCTTCTGGCTGAAATAACTTGAGTGTTCTCTCTTGCAGCATGCAAAACGTCGTCCCCCTCAGTGAGGGAGAAATGGACGTGGCCCAGGACTCAGAGGCTCAGTTACAGGAGCAGGAAAAACGAATTGAGATCTCCTGCGCTTTAGCTACAGAAGCCTCCCGACGAGGCCGCATGCTGTCTGGTAAGATGGAATGCTCTGCAGCATTATCAAAAGATTAGGCAACGGAGCATTACAGTCCCAATAAGAGCAAAGCTTTTCCTTCCATTGATGAACTTGGCCAGATATTGTTGCTTAAGCACTTAAGTGTTGTGGTATTGGACATTATGTCTATGGAGACATAGGTCATAGTTATCCCAAAGATGTATCTTTGGGATATTGGACATTATAGCAAAACAAATGAACTAGAGATCTAGCCTCCAAAATAAGTTAAATTTGACAGTCTATGATGAAAATTAATCAAACAGTTTAAATGGTTTGTTTAAATTCATTAAAATTATTTATAAAAGTTAGAAAATTGTCATAAGAAGCCAACTGTGCTGTTGTACTGTTTTAATATTTTTTTTTAGCTCAATGAGTCAAGAGGCATTTTTCCATCACTGATACCAATTTCCAGAAAATGTAAACAAATGAATTAGTCTGATTTGTTAAATGGCATATATGGTAGTAAGCCTTTGACTGAATGGCAATGTCTTCTCCTCTAATTTGTAACTCCAAACAAAAGCAGCTCCAACTACTTATACCTTCTTACAATAGGTCAGCAGCAGGCAACTTTTCTATAGAGATCTGAACATTTTAAAGACATTTTTAAAGGTTAAAGGAAACACTGAAGGCACTGAATATGGAATATTGTGTTATTTTATGTTATTTGCAGTGGGAATAAGGTTTTTTTTTTTTTAAAAAAAAGAATCTCTGTGTTAAGCCACCCACAGGTAAATTAAAAAATTGCCACCAGATATTGTCAATATGAGGCATAGTGAGTTGTACACATGAGAATTACATGTAGCCCATTAACCACACACTCGTCTGTCTTAAGGTGAATTGAATACACTACATTGCTACCAATTTTGCAGCCTGTCAGTATCTAGACTGCAGAAATGAGGGTGCTGGATGAGTTTGCTCATTCCTCCTCCCTCATTGAGCCCAGCAAGTTCTTCAGTTTACTGAGGAGCTGCAGGCAATGAAGATGGTAAATGGGATGCCAAGAGCAATGGGGTGAGGGTGGGGAGGATAAATGAAACCAGTCATTGTGCCCAGTTTGGGAGTACATCATCGTAATAAGAGTGGAGAAACATGATCCCATCTTGTCTTACCTTTATTGCATCTGCACATTAACATCTGGCAGCTCTGTTCACCGTTACTTTTAGGGGAAGAGAAGGTAAAGATCTTACTAAAGATCTTATTGCTATGATATATTTGCAATTTCCTTTGCTAAATAAAAATCGCTTACATTTAATGTGAGCTGGATTGTGCATACCAAGATGACTTGGGTGAAATCTTTGTGAAATTATCTGGGATCTTTTGAATTCGCAGAAACTAAGGATATGAATAGGGCTCTCTATGGAATGAGGTCCATCACCTGTAAGCTTGATCTATGCACCACATAGCTTATATGTGCATCTGGTTGGGGCATGGAGTAGCTAGATTTAAGAGGTATTAAAGCATCTTTATGTTATATTGTACCACTGCCTTCAAGGAAGCAATAGTGCATCCCCGCCTGAAGAGGCCATTTCTCAATTTTAAACAATTGGCCAATCTCTAACTATCCCTAACATGGATAGCATTTCTGCAAGTCAGGTCAGTTAATTGTTCCAACATTTGTCCCTCTCTAAAGTGGTAGGTCTGAAATCGAAGAGGGTTCCTAGACTCTCTGCTCCTTTTTAAAGGAGCAGTGAAGCTGTTAGATCGCACAGGCAGTAAGACACGAGTCGAGTGACAGTCAGCTCTCGGTTTATTGGCAAGGCATAAAGTAAATCCGGACTGGCATCTGGGCCAGGGGAGCCCTCTTTTATGGGATTCCCCTGGCTTGTAATCACACAATTCCATTGGCTGGTAAGACCCCGTTGCTAGTTAGCCAACCAGCAACGGGCATGAAAC